TAAGCAATTTTTATAATACTGTTTGCAATTTTGCAATAATTAAGTTTTTCATAAGTTATGCAAAAATGAGCGTCTGACAAAATGGGCTACAAAACTGACATAGTAGGCAATAATACCAACATTCCTATTATATAAATAAAGATATACCAACATTCCTATTCTGTAAAGAAAATTAATTTATGAAACCGTAAACATTTAAAATGACATAATATTATCAATAATACAGTCACTATTATTTTAATTACGCAATTTGCAAAAGAACACTGTAAGAATTTTCTTCTCGGATTCATAGAATTGGTTTTTAGCTGATTTGGTATAGAAATAAGCCACAAATATATGAATTATGAGTTTGTACTTCTTTAATTAGCTAAACAGATCATGATTTTATTAGTATTAATAAAGTGCAATAGTTAGTTTCTGAGAAATAAGGGGGTGTCACTTTAGGAGACCTATGTCAGTATCGGCGACTTTCCTCTATATATATGTATATATATATGTCCTTTCAATTTTTTTTTAATATGGCCGGAGACACTACCGCGTCTCCTGATATAAGCATATAATATAGATATAAGCAAACATAATTACAGAAAGTAAAACGCAGTTGTTCTCAAGTAAGTACAAAAAAAAATAATTACATGTTTGAAAATCCATCCACATAATAGTGATTCGCAATGGAAAAACCGGATTGTAAAGAATAATTATTAGAAAACCGGCTTACGATCAGGTTGTCTCATTGCGAATTACTATATGCGAATGGATTTTTCACAAATGTAACTGACATTTTTTGTTGCACCTTTACTTGCGAAGGACTTTTACTTTCTATTATAGTAGCTATAATTTATGTTTGCTTATATCATTAATTTATATATTTATTAGTTAATTTTACACTAATATAACCTGATTTTATAGTCAAAACGTTTTGTAGTATTTTTATTGTTTCAATACATTATTATATGTTAATATAAGCATCTACATATAGAGTAATGACCTAACTATTATTTTTGTTTAAATAAATTTTAATTTCACTGATCCTTTGTATTTACTTATTATTTTCATTAATATTTACTTTCATATCACATTTTATTTATATTAATTATATTTCCTAATATTGTTTAATGATATTAAACTTTAACAACGCTATCAATTTCTCGGAACATTCCTTCGTCGTAATTATTTATACGTAGGTACATTATACCTCTTTTTATTATCATGATATTGTTTATTATATTTTTACGTTGTTCGTTATAATATTTTTTTCAGAATCCATGTGGAGTCGAATGAGAATAATGACTGCACCAACATTTAGTTCATTTATGTTACAAAGTTTTTTTAATACGTTTGTTGAACAATCTGTAGCACTTACATGTGAATTAGAAAAAGTTGGTTTAAATAAAAATGAAATTATTCATGTAGAACATATATCAAATTATACTTGGAGAATTGCCTGTGGTAAGACTATATAATTTAATACAAATTATATATTACAAAAATATTATATTTTACGTGTAACAAATGAAAATTTTAAGTAGTATATAAATTCACACAAGAATCATACAACCATTTAAGATCCAGCTAGACCGTTTAAGGGTTTGATTTCTATAGTTTGTGTTATCTCATATACGGTCCTATAATATATTATATTGCTTATTTACGTCTCCTAAAGAGATGTTGTTCCTTCATATATTAATTATTGCGAAGAATATTACTAAGGCCTCGGTAGTTTAAAGGCTTAGGTTCCGCTTGCACGGAATGTAAGAGATCCGGGTTCGACTCCCGGCTGAGGTAATATTTTTCGCAATAAGAATTAATTATTTACAGATTTTAATATGTCATTTAACTTTATTAAGATCGTTTCGAAGATGCGAATAAGCATCAAAAATTTGTTAAATTGCTAGTCAATTTAACTCGTGATATTACTGCGGTAGTTTAATAGAGTTAGCGTTTCAAGACTGAAAAATCACTTTAGCGCGCGTTTCTGGGGACTACACACGTAGTATATAAATTTACATAAGAATCATACAAGCATTAAGATCCAGCTAGACCGTTTAAGGCTTTGATTTCTATAGTTTGTGTTATCACATATATGGTTCTATAATATATTATATTAAATAATTATATGTTTATGAATATTTATACGTATTTATGTATATTTATACATATTCATGCATGAAAAATTTTTTACCAGGTATATTATATGTATTATATAGACGTATAAATAATGTAAAACTTAATGTTGTATCGATTGCGCACATTAATATTTGATTAATAAAATTTCTTTTTACATGTTATTATGTAAAGACTGCATGATGGGCATCAAGTTGAAACCAAATAAAAACAATCAATGTACAAAAGCAGTTCAAAGGTATTTAAAATTTTTTTCAAATTCTAAATATATTTATAATTAATGCAAATCGTATTAACATCAATAGATATAAATCTATTTAAATAAAATTTTTATCTGTTCACAAAAATTACATTATATGTACAAGAAAATTTTTTGTGAAAAATGTAACTGGATATATCTCCATATGAAAAGTATTCGTACATCAAATTAGACTCGCTGTACGTCGATTGTGAAGTTTCTACGAAAAAACAATTCCTATGAAGTTTCAATCCCTTTTTATGGAGTGAGGTTTTATCTACCTATTATATTCCAAAAAAGGGATTGAGATTTTACTCCTTTGAAGTGAATCTCATACCAAAAGATTAAATCTCATTCTAAAAAGAGTGAAAAAAGGGTAAAATTACCGTATTTTAGCTTAAACTTCTTATACATGTTTTTTCGGATTTTTTGATGAATTGAATCATTTGCAAATCACGTGTTGAAAATCACATTAAAAGTAGCACAATTTCATCAAAATCTTTTATTGCAATCTTCGATATTTTCTCATTAATTTAGTTTGAAATTTAATTTGAAATTAACGTTTGCAAATGATTTAACACATCAAAAAGTACGAAAAAATATACATAAAAAAGGTTTTGTTTTTTAAACTAAAATTGGATATTTTATTCAATGTCTTGAGTAATGAATAACACAGGTCAATTTTGATTAAAGTAATGGAATCTTCTTTATGCATTTTTATTTTCTTTAATTTGTTCAATCATTTGCAAATGTTAATTTTAAGCTAAACTAAGAGGAAAATATTAGAAATTGCAATTAAAGATCAGATTTTTACGAAATTGTGCCACTTTTAATGTGATTTTCAACATTCCCATCAGATCAGTTTGAAATAACCATTTTTAATGATTCAACACATCAAAAAATACAAGAAAACGTGTATCATAAGAAAGGTGGGCCAAAATCCAGTAATTTTACCATACTTCTTTGTCACTCTTGAACAAGAGTGATAGTATTTTCACTCTTTTTTCAAGACTGGCTCAATTTTCAGTTCTTTCGAGTGAGATTTTACTCCACGAGATTTAGAGAATACTTATATTGCAGACATTTACACTCCATAAATATTGATGTGTCGAAGCCAATGTGGATCGTCAACGGTTCAATAATGCATATCATGTGTATTTAACTGTCTATGATTTGTAAAAAAAATGACTCGTCTGTAAACAACACATAATCGAAGAATTGTTGATCAATCTCTAACTGGTGTAAGGCCCATTCGCAGAATCTTTGCCTATTTTGAAAATCGTTACCACCAAGAGATTGATGTAAGCATATGCGATAAGGATGAAAATTATGGCGTTTCAATATTTTCCAAACACTTTTATAGTAGATAAATCACATTGAGAAGCGATTTGTCGACAACTAATATTTTTATTTTAATTTATGGAGAATCAGGCCGAAACTCAGTGCGAGCTACACAATTGTATGCGGAAAAATATCCTCATCGTTACTATCCATCCAGATGTACATTTGATAGATGGTTAAGTCATTTTGCGAATCAGGTAGTGTCTATCAAGCTGAAAGAAATCGTCACAAGACAAAATGTAGCAAAAAGCGAAAACTTTTGTTTTGGCGGCAGTAGCTAAAAATCCACACATTACTTGTCGACAAATAGCTTGTCAATGTGATTTATCTACTAAAAGTGTTTAGAAAATATTGAAACGCCCCCTCCCCTCCATAATTTTCATCCTTATCGCATATGCTTTTTTCTATGGGGATACATAAAAAGTCGAGTTTATTGTGATAATTTGGCATATTCCGGTAATTCGGAAGAAGATTTATATGGGGGTGCTACAATTATTTATTTATTTATAATTTTTTTTCGGGGGTAGACACAAAATTTTTTTGATGGACAAATGTGGACAATCGATTGCGATGTCAAAATTCACATTTAGGGGTGCCAGCTTCATAGACTTACGCTTTAGGTGAGAGACACGCGGAACGAGGATTCTGAGATCGAGTCCCGGTCGAGCCCAGTCTTTCGTTGCTGAAGAATGTAACCTAAATTTTTCTGTTAAGAAAATTAATGGAATAGCATTAAGAATACTTTATTCTAGATTTGAGAACTTTTCATTCAAGAAGAATTATATTCTTTTCTGCAGAATAAATACGATTGGCTCTATATCAATCTTATTTTACACTAGATCGAGGAATAATAGCATTGAATATAGAAATCTTTTCTGTGAATGTAAGAAAACTCATTTATTAAGTCATTAGGATTTTACTCTTTCTCGTTTCCGAACGACGTATCATTAATATCCATGGCCTAGACACCAAAATTATTTATTGGAACAATTGTGAAGACAGTAGTTCTTCACTTTTATTTAATTTATTATATCTTTTGCGTATGTTTAATTGTCTGGATACAACCTGTTGCTATTTCATGTTTTTTATCTCTAGTTTGAGTGATGTTGCTTTATATTTCACTTTTCCTTACTTATTTAAGGTTTAATAAATTTTTTATTTTTACTTTTTACTCTAAGTTTATATTCTTTTATATGTATATCTCAATATTATATTATTTTATAGAATGTTATATACAGAGTTATGTATATTTAAATATTATATCATCCCTTTTACTATTACAAACTGAAGAAGACTATACAGTCGGAAGGTGTTACATTATTTTAAACGTCATTGGACATTAAATTAGTTGTATGTCATTTCAATATTATTGTAATATTTTACTTGTTACTTAGTCTTGTTAATATTACTTTTGGTAAATATGCAGATTAGGGGAGCCCCCCCCCAATGAACTTGACCTTGACATATGTTGTCAAGGTCATGACCCCGAGTGACCTTGAGGAAGTTTTAATTGCAGGACGTTACTCATTAAGAAGTTATAAACAAAAGAA